GTGCGCGGCCCCTCAGTGTCAATGAAATTCGCTTCTGACGTCATAGGCATCAGCTTGCGAATGTTGTTTGCTCCCTAATAATGGGAGTACTGACCCCTTTTATCATCGTAAAGTGACACATCTTGCAGACGGCTTGCACACCTTCTCAAACAAGTAAAACGTTCAAGAAGCTTGAGTGCCTCTAATTAAAATGCCAAAAGAAAATAGAGGACTCGAAACCTTGAAGAAGTACTTCGCATTTTGACGGTAAAAAATGCATACTGAGACTTGGAACTACAACCCAAATTCTATTTAGAGTAGATTGTGGACTGATTATTGTCAAGCAAAAACGTCGTCCGCACAGTCTAAGCCTGCTAATATATATATATATATATCAAAAGACCTACTGTATTCGACCTAACGGTTTGAAGAATGTATCGAGCGAATTGCTCAGCTGCAACACCCTTTCGGTGCCTAGATGCTATGTTACCTGAAAGTAGCAATTGGGGCTGAGCTACTGTCACTTTGCCGAAGTCTACGCAGGAGCAGTCGGGATTTCGAGGTTGTGCTTGAACCATGGATCTTTCGGTCAGTAAGTTCACGCCTTAGCCACTGAGTCATCTTGAGCTCTGAAGGACGCACAAGCGTTGGTCTCGATTGAAAAAGTCTTCTGGTTGGCTCTATCATTATCCAGAATGGATCCACCTCAAAACAGTCACACACTGAATGGATGGACAAAGCATAACCTCAAGTCAATCTTTCATGTGTGGACAGTATCAGCCATACAAAAGACAGTGAAACTCTTGTCACCCGATTTTACTTAGAATCGGATAACGATTATGGAGAAAGGCGACTGGCTGTTCTCAGTTTATGTAGATGATGCCTAAACAATCGTTCACGAGATCTTTCGGTAAGTTCACGCCTTAGCCACTGAGTCATCTTGAGCTCTGAAGGACGCACAAGCGTTGGTCTCGATTGAAAAAGTCTTCTGGTTGGCTCTATCATTATCCAGAATGGATCCACCTCAAAACAGTCACACACTGAATGGATGGACAAAGCATAACCTCAAGTCAATCTTTCATGTGTGGACAGTATCAGCCATACAAAAGACAGTGAAACTCTTGTCACCCGATTTTACTTAGAATCGGATAACGATTATGGAGAAAGGCGACTGGCTGTTCTCAGTTTATGTAGATGATGCCTAAACAATCGTTCACGAATGTTCACTGGGGAATCCACCAGAGAGATGACCCTGCTCCTCAGTTCGTTCATCGAAGTGAATTGTTGTAAGCTGAACAAGCTACATCAGTAAAGCATTTGAACAAACTTCTGACAAATCTAGGCAGATGGGCTTGATGGGTCATTTGTGTTCTCGCAAAGGCAAAGTTTGTGTGATCCGGAAATGAGAGACAAAATGACCTGACGGTAGTTAGAATAGCCCTATAGCTTTCTCCATGCTTGACTATTCCAACTAGCGTGTGTGGATGAACAGCAACATGACGCACGCAACATTTCAGTAGTTGTCACAGTATATTTGTAGTACACTGGGTTAGGATATCCAAATCGAATGGCAGTAACCAAGTTCAGAAATAAGACATCTCTGGTCAGTTGAACGAGACCGAACTTGGGGACAACCAACTGTTTGCTAATGTGAAGAACAGTAATCTTGAAGTAAGATTTTGGAATATGACATTAGACAGAGGGACCTAACCAACTGCTCCTGGGGAGTCTTGAAAGGCCTTGCGGCATATCGAAATAGCTTTGCACTGTTGAATACAATAACGACTATACGGGTTTTTGTAACAGGCCATGACTCACCTGACTACTGGTTTACCTGCAAGCTACCCATTATCATCCGAAAGGCACAGTAATGGGAATCCCCAGAGAGAACTGTTGATGATTTATTTTAAGGAATTGGGTGTTTCATTGCAGCATGGAAACAGACAAATGAGACCGATGACTTTGTGGTGAAGTAGTGCTGGCGACCGTTGCTATGCCATCATGCCAGTGGTCCTCAAGACGATCGCATGGTTTCCCGCCTAACTTATCATCTCGGATCAGCATCAGCATAAAGGGCTTGCACGAAACATATTCGGCTCTCCGCGAGTCACAAATTATGCACACGTGCGCCGTGGTTCTGCCACCGTCAACCGATAGATAAGCCTTGGATATATAATTTCACCCTACAGTAGAATAGCAAATTTTGGAATTTCAACGTCGCTCGAGATACCTCTGTGGTTAAGTTTCCAACTTACCGACTGGAAGATCTTGGCATATCAACTGCTCTTGTTTAGGTTTGGGCAAATTGGCAGTAGTTCAACAACCCTGCTTCTTTCGCGTGGTATGAAAGCTAAGCAGCGGAACGGTGTATGACCCTGAACGCTGTTTTATGTGACAGTGGAAAATAACCTTCATTTTACGGTGCCCATATCCGGCTAACCACAGCCACTAGTTCGTTTTCGATTAATTCACTCCTGTCCATAACATTCTCATCACAGATGACCCATAGTCAGCAGCATCATCCCTATTAACATCCAACTCATCACATCAGTTATGAATATTGGCGCAAGTCTCCCATTGCTGACATTAACGCTTCAGCATCGTGAAACCAAACGGCGGTTTACGGAGGACACAAGAAGGGAGGAGGGCGTGGACAGAGAAGGGAGCGGGCACCAGCTAAAAAGTTATTTACACTCGGTTCGTGGATGCTGACCAAGTAGCATATCGTCTGGGGAATAAACCCTCCTCATAACACATTATTCTCCGTTATTAGGTCCCTGAGAAAATCGTTCAGCTGTAGCACCCTTTCGGTGCCTAGCTGCCATGCCACGTGAAGGTTGCACGAGGGCTTGGATACTGCCAGGTTACCCAAGCCCAGACAGGGGAAGTCGAGAGGCAGAGGTCGGGTTCGAATCACGGACCTTCCGGTCAGTAAGTTCGCGCTCTAACCACTTGGGCCAACTCGCCCGATTGTTATCAGGTCCTTGCTGATTCAGTAGTAACCTGTGACGCGATTAATACGTGATTCGCAAGTTCATAGGTGCTGCACAGCGGAAGCTAACAACCAACAAACGTCAGGGAGACGAAAATTTGACGGGCATAAGCTGAACATAGAAAATCAAGTCTGACCAGAAAAGATCGAAAAGACCTGGAGATGAATAATGTCAAACATCCGACCGATACTTGGCGCCGCGCTTTTAAGATTGTTTAGCCTGGTGGGGAACACTTCTCGAAACAGCACTTTGACAAATATATCCTCCACCTCAATCTACGGATCCTTTACGGATTGCAAGGTGAAACAACAGTAACCACCCAGCCTTCACCAGTCCTTGTTTCTAGCATCTGCACAGCAATACACCAGTGGTGAGTACTGGTGCGTAACTGCAATGATGGTTCCCGGATAGGTAGCTACAGAGGCTGTATTATTCATATCACCCTTAAATTCGCCTAAGTCTTTTTGTTGAAGAGCACTAGAGAAAAGAGTAAAGAACAGTGTTTTGTCGAACAGAAAAATCCTTGGGCTTGTTTCAAATCATCTGTATACAGACCACTAGAAATTACCAGAAGTATCACCCGAAACTCAGCAGGCGAAATGGCTTTCACAACTGTTTATGTCCGGGTTCCGGCGTCTAGCTACAAGCTTACATCGCACTTACATGGTGATGTGGTCGTGTTCTAGGCCTGATGGAAATTAGGCTAGTACTTCTGTAGAAAACAGTCCCGTTATTGCCTTACCCTCAGCATGCACTGTAGCGCGCTTATAAAGTCCCACAGCATGAGGATTATTATGGTAGTAATCGTGAAATTACAACCACAAATTTTGACAAATACACTCATTTGCGTATCGATTTGATTTTCACGGAAAACTCAACTGAACCCTTCGTTTATGACATCCTTCAATTGAAAGTGCTGCACAAGGGCAGCCTCATATTTCAGCTGGTATGAAGATGGCTGTCGAACAGTCTCCAGCAACATTGAGTAATTTCCTTTATGAATCTTTCCTCATATTATGGTTTTTGAGTGCGTCACAATCATATAGACGACGAGGAATTAAACGGACTGACTTCTACAGAAGCATTGGTCTAAAAATCATCGAACCTGGAATACGATCATCTTTCAAGTGAGCGATTCAAAACTCCATTTTTACACGAAGCAGTGATACGGGTTGAACTGCCTTTAGTCCTTGGCTGAATAGGTCAAAAAAGGTCAACAAAAGCCCCTCGGAGAGCTTCTAGCAACTTCGAGTATCGTTTGGTCAAAGGGAAACACTGAGATATCTGGAAAATCGTGCCAACCGAAAAGTGAAGCGGCCTATTTACAGCACATTCACTACTAGGAAATTCAGCTGGAATTCATTTGAGGAGCCCCTTGTAACGAAAGCAGTGTATAAACGAGTGTAGCTGTCGAAGTACCCTCAATCCTATTGAAACATTCAAGCTATGGCACGATAATTAACCTCTTTTACTCTGCAGGGCCTTCATTTGTTGTAGATACTCTTAAAGAGCAGCCTTGTTGGTCCGACAGAAGTCCCTGGACCATCAGCCGTGCCGTAATCCAGAAGGGCAATCTGTTGGTCGTATTTTCAAACATATACGAAATGAACTAGTCCCTGACCAGCAGCAGTTAACCAATTTGCAATTTTAGTGTTACTACAGAGTAGGCTAACCAACTCATCACGTGGTAAGAGCACCTGGTTCGAACCCACCCCCGGCATTTCGACTGATCCTGTTTATGCTTGAGTGTCTTGGAAGTATTTCAGCCCTGATACAGCACGGTAGCTGGGCGCCGAAACGGTGACATGGCTAAGCAATTTTATATTTCTTACCATCCTTTTTAGCTGATAATCGCTAAACATGTCAAAGAAAGTGATTCTATACCATAACGATGAGTCGAACACCAAAGAGCAGTTGTTCATCATTAAGACACTGCATGCCCGTGCATTATCATTTAAGAAACTTGTGAGAGTTTGTTGTTAGACAAGCTCGTAGGTGTGCAAATGGCATTTGAAACAAGATGCTTACCGTCGTGTGTAGCGATATGACGCTTGAGGTGGGTCTTCCGATGAAATATTAGATCGCATCCCTCAACGGGACACAAGTAGTTTTTGGGTTGCATACGATGAAATTCATCTCGGTGGTTCTTCAGATACTTCGGGGTACGGAAAGCTCTATCACAACCTTCGACATCACATACATATGGTTTTCGTGGGTTATGAATATCAGCATGATACTTCAGGCGCAACTTTGTCTTAAAAACTCGGCCACATTCAGGACAACGATAAGAGCTGCACTGCGACATAGTACACTCATGATCACGGAGAGACATTTCGTTCGGGAATCTACGAGAACATTCACCGCAGTGATACTGCCCCTCTTTGTCCGTCATATGCATAGACTCCATGTGTTTGAACAGATTCTTACCATACTGGGTAGAATATGGGCATTGGTCACATTGATGGCGCTTCGTGACATGATTAATATGCTTCTTCATGTGACTGCGTAGAGAAGAACGATTTGAGTAGACAGCATTGCAGACATCACACACAAATTCCTGGTTATCTTCCTCGGTGTAGTCACCACCTGGTATCCTATGTAAACTCGGGTTATCAATCTGTGATGGAAGAGAATAGCCCATGGATTGTTCTGCTGGTTTGCATGAAAAGTTGCCAGAATACTTCTGATAGGCAGGAATGTTACCCAGCTGGTCACTCTGTGAAGCCGGTCCGGAATTGGCAGCACTCGTAAGTATTCCGTAGGGAGGAGAAAAATTATGTTTTGGAGTGACCGATGTGTTCAGTGAAGCCGGCCCACTGCAAGGGTTTGGGGATTCAGCAACAGATAATTGATGAGAACGATATTCGGAAGGAGTTGAACTGCTGTCAGCGAGCTCAGACGGCCCACTGGATTTGCCATGCGCAGACAACGAGCCATTGTTGTTTGTGCACTCGGCTACAGGTAAGTTAGTGTTATAAAGAGCAGGTATCGTAATAGGGTCTACGACTGGATTGGGAGAGTGGGTTGTATGATGTATGCGTGTAGCATATCGATCTAGTTGCTTGAGACGCTCCTTGAGTATCGGATTTTCAGCCACGTGTTTGTCATCGTCGCTACTTTCCTCCTCCTCCGAAGAAGTGTCCGAGTCGCTTTCAGACTCAGAATCTGCTCTTCTCTTCAAAATTCTTTGGTCAACGTTGCCGTCAACGCCATCCAGTGAAGATGAAATCCCTGGAGGTTGCATTAAGATCGGACCTTGGGAAGGCAGTGCTGGGTTGGCCAAACTGGACATGGCTATTCACAAATGTACTTCTTCATCTAGTGTGTATTTTGGAGAGTTGAGAGAAAAACGTTGCACAAAATGGACACATTCCATCGCACTCTGATGCGGAGTTTGCTGCACGCGGACCTTTTGGTGACCTTGAAAGCCAAGGGCATCAACATGCAGTGACATAAAAGTGCCGTACCAGTGCTGTCCTCCATACAATTCAAGTCCGATAAGTTATGAAGATGGACAGACACTGAAAGGGAACCAAAAGTGTGTTGTTTATGGGTCGATAGACATGGGATTATCAAATGGTCGCTGATGATGTCCCTAAGCATCTTCATTCAAACTGACCTTCCTGTCCCCATGAGAAAGCCCCATAGGTTCCCTTCTCGCAAACAATCTACGATGCCACAGATTGGCAACTATATGTGGCGCTCACGATATATTATCTCCTAATTGGGCTTTGAGGAGCCCCAATTGGCATCGGCAGACAGCCACCTAAGCATGCAGTCTGATCCCCGTGGTGTCCATTAGTGCAGCCATTTACTTCCTGACGATTTAGCCAAATAAGCCTTGCAATACCTCATTTTAAGACGTACTGATAACATACTGCTACGCATGTTGTTGGGTGAAGTTAACTTAACTATCAAATTAATCTGAATCTTTCAGTGTGTCCCTGTGTATATTTCCGACCAAAACCAAATGTATGTGAGCAGGCTGTCGACCAACAAAATGGCTCTTCTAAACAGTAAATATACACCAAGACATGTAGAAGGTAGTTTACGTTGGTTTTCTGAACACACATCCCCTACCAGCGCGTATTCCAGTTTCGAACTTGACGTACACATACGGTACCTCCTAACCCTACCCAGCTTAGTGTCATCTGTAGCTGACGCAGACTATATATTCGGATAATCCAAAAATAAGTCCAATATATTCACTTTCGTTCTTCCACAACGTTGTATGTATTTACACCTACCAATGAGGCAATAATATGTGTCGCTAGTATGTTGCTGTCAATGATGACGATGCGGCCGCTAAATGTTTGGGATAGAATTGATAGACTGAATGTAGCACTGGGCTGCTTCTAACCTACGAGGACTCTCGGGCTACATAATACTGCAGCCAAGAATCTACACCCTGCAATATGCTCTTACGTATAGCAGTACACACCGTGACACATGTCTCCAGCTTACATTAGATGGTTTCTCGGAACGAAGGATTTCCATATAGCCGACTCTTCTGCTCCAGAAGAAGTGGTCAAAAGCTCAAACTTCCACCTATCACCATAACAGTTTATACACTTTCTCACATAGCCAAAATCTTACCTTGCTGGTTCGGTGGATCCCACGCTACTGGTCCCCATTTTATACTGACCGTCCGGCTTGACGGCTGGCCCCCTTTTATTCTTTTGACTCCAAACACACTGATTTGTCTGATTCCGCAGCAACACGCCGTCGAGTCATACAAAAACCTTCTTGGATCCGCTCGAATAGCTACGTGCGCTACCTCCCCTGGGAGGCTAAAGTCTTTTATGATATATCTAATAAGGTGTTCCTCAACATATCCACTCCAAGTACACTCAAGTAACTGCTGTTTGGACAATTAATTGCTGTTCGTCCTATCTCTCCACGCATTGCATCTTCCTGGTGGAATTCAGACCTACCTACAGAATGGATGTCTAACAGACTTTCCACATGATAAACATTTCTTACGGGAAACTTTAACCCCTTATGGCAAGATATTTCTTCTATCTGAATCCTTACAAACCGCAACAAATCTGTTGAAATCCCGCACCCCATGGCTACTTGTAAGTCACACGCTTTACACTCAATCTTCATCGGACTGTGAATATGAGCTCTTAGTCAGCCTCTTGCAATTAGCACGCTATCTTGCTCATTATCATCCTGCGGGCTTCGGACAGTCTTCCATCAACTGGAGACGCCTTGTTTACCCAAATCCCAGCGGGAATTCGTTCTTTCACCCACTTCGTCCAGAAAAAGTTATTTTCCCTTCATTCATTACTAATTCCGACTGACCGCTGCCCATTAACCTATGGCTTCATCTTCACCAGAGAGTGTGGTTTGACAGAATACTTTTTTCTCTTTCATTAGGCAAGATTAATCATGCAATGTAGTTCGCTGCTTCCCCCTAGTACGCCATTTTCGGTTTCCACCAGGAAGATTCTCTTCCTATACTGGGCAGTACAAAGTGAATGTCAGGTATTGGCTGCACCACCGGTATTTTTAAGGTGATGAATCAGTATAATTTTTGAGGGACAGAAGTGTTACCCTCTAATTCAACCTTCCATGCCAGGCGGCCAAAAGTACTCAGAAGAATTCGCGGGCCATCCACCGAAACCAGACCTTCTGAGAGCGTTGTTCCGGGATAAGCTATGGTAAGGACTCTGAATTCCGATCGTGGACAGTTTTGGCAAATGCAACTTGCATAGACAAAGCGTGGGAATACTTGCTCTGACAGAAGCGAGCATCCTCATGCTTTTCTTCAGTTGGAAACGATCTAGGAGAAAGAAAATGCTGCAGTCTTACCTCTGGATTTCCGACAGCAGCCTTACCCATACATTCGGCAGGCAGCTTAAGTAGTCAATATCACCTCAGGTATATTCGAGCCTGAATTAAAACCCCTGAATCCTAATATATGATTCATATAAACCAGTCTACTCACAATGACTGATATTTCCTGACAAGAATGCTAGAATGGCGTGATTGTGGCGGCTATCCCGGCATGAACAGCACCGAAATCTAAATCTCCTAGAAATATTCTCTTGTGCCTCCGCTCTCAAGTAAAAATAGCCTCATTTCCAAATTTAAGGTATTGGTTCAGCGATTGGTGTCTGAATAGGACCGGTAATAAGACAGCGCAGGTTAAACAGAATAAAGTGGAAAAACACATCACATGATAAGAAACCGCAGTTGAAGATGAACATCATACACACAAGGCCGGGGGTTATTGAAATCAACCGATCTGAGCCCAAATTAAAGGCCGTTGCCGTGGACAAGCGGCCTTGAAGAGTTGAACTGATAGTCTGGGTCAGGGAATTAGTGGTAAACGTAGGTGCGAATTGGCACCGATGGTGTGCTAGCTAATCCCCTAATTTATCGACCTGAAATTCACCTGATGGTGTGGAAATGACCCCTCATCCACAAAAATAGTGCTTGCCACGTCCCGGTAAAATTGCGTCAGGCAAGACCCTAGTGCCTATATCTTTTGACTTCCATCGCGCCTTTCAGGAACTGCTTCCCACAGCACCCATCCACGGTCAGAGAGAATTTGGCGATTCAGGCTTTTCCCGCCGTTCCAAGGCTTTCTGGCTAAAACTACTGTATTGAACATTCATCTGAAGCATGCGATCAAGATCGGTGTTCTCAAAAGACCAGTCTTAGTCACGAAACCGATCTTATACCGATTGATCCCTAGATTACCATACTCTCATGAGACTTTTCCGCTTGTGGATGTTCTAGAAGTACTGCATAGCAATTTCCTACTTCAGTTAAGCACTTCGTTCCTGTGCAAATGGGATGCTTCCAACCATTAATTAACCCACCCGTAAAGACGCTCTAATGCCCCCCATAAATACACCTTCGGCCGTCTTTTCACAACATGTCATCACACCTGCCCAAATATTGACTGCCACAAAGATACGGAACGCTGGTTTACTTGCAGCATTTCACCTTCAGTGGTAGTACTGTGCCACCTTGAAGCAACGAAGTTGCTGGTCATTCTCTGTGGTCCATTCTTTTGCCTTATTTTGCTTCACACTTATTCATGCAACATAGGAGTTTAGCGTTTTTCGTGTGCCCACAAATGTATACAGCAATTCAAAAAAACGTTTCAAATCTTCTTGAGCCTTCATACTCATGTAGAGAGAAGGCTCGGAACCCCTCTCTGCCAAGGCTAGAGCCTATTATCTTCCACGGTGGTTGAAAATTTCCCACTGCAGCGGCCTCCATATGGTCCATCACATCAGGCCCCAAAGTAACAGATTTGAGTTTCCCAAAAAGGACACACTAACCCTTGGATCTTTCAAGAAGGTTGCTGTTTTGTCTTGAGACCAGGTCCTAAATGAAGTTAACCAAGGTTCCTCTATTTAGGGTTTAAAACTGACATTTTTCTCATCCCTTCCAGAGCATCTTCTGAATTCGCGACATAACTCCTAGCCAAGGAGAACGGTAAAATTTAACCCCTGGCATCTCAGCTTTAGGCGTTAGTCGTCCTGTGCAAGACCAACGCGTAACATAATTGGTAAGGAGTAGAATATCACTGGTGAATGGATAATGCCAGTCACCTTTCATTTGGATGGATAACGCGACTTCAATATTTAACACATATCAGGCCGACAAAAGCCACTACTCGATTAGAGACAGTGGCTACGCAAAAAAGCCCACTTGGCACAGAAATGTCACCGGACACACTGTGCAGACTTAAGCAAAGTGTACATCACACATGTGGTATATACCAGTAAAGTGCTGCTGAGCGCGGACAGGTGATAGCACACGCACCAATTTCATACTAACACGACTGGAAAGAAAAGCTAGGAACAGTTTTCTGTATCATCCAGGTTTTGGGTATGATCAAACGACAATCAGTACCATTGTAACAGTGGACACGACCGACGAGGCAAACTAGTAGCATGTTTTCCCGTAAATCCGCTTCGCGCCTCTTGGAAAGTGAGGCACTTTGTGGAGTCGCTTTGCTTGCAATTGAGTAACAGCGAGTGAATATTCAGGAAAGTTCAGGAAGACGCGTCCAAGAAGATAGATATTCAGTTTTGTAAACAAGATGCATATGAAAGTTTTGATCACCTGCCCAATAGACTTCAACTGTTCAGTTGGCGTTTCGCAAATAAACAACTCCGTAGGGGAGGCCTTCCTCCTTCCATTTGGTGCCGTGACCAGGATAGGGATGAGAATCCCATGGATAGAACCGTTGTGGATGGAGATGTTCGGACTACAACCCCATAGCCTCCAATGTCCCAAGAGAAAATATGCTGAGATGCAATGCTCATCTCCTGTTGAGGAAAATCTAGAAAGCAGCAGCCGTCCCTGTGCATTTACGCTCTATATTATCTAAAATATTCACCTCAACTTCCCGCTAAGAGAAGCACACAAATTTGGAACTTCTCATCAAGCAACGAAAGAGCAACGAAAGAACTCAGCGCGATAAAGTTTAACCAATTTGGGCCCAGAAGTTTTCTAGGGAAAACGCCGGCCAGCAAAATTTTTGTCTTGGATGAGTAAGGCACTATCTCGGATATGAAAAGCTCCCTAGGCCCTTGTCGTGAATGACTACGGGAAAAAGCACGAGGTTGTTTTGTCCGGCAAATGAATAGCTGAGAGGACGGTGTTTGAGATGGACACACGAATGATATTTTCTAGGGTTTATCTGGAGGCAGTTGGTATTATGTAGGTTGCGCAGGCATCGGTGGCTTACTGGAACATACGGCGACATTTGCACAATAGATTTGGGTCGTCAACGTAAGGCAGAGTTTATGAACTAGGCGGAAAAGGAATCAAAACCGGATCAGGAAAATTCATAGGTGAAGTAATTTTTAGTATCCAGCCTTGTTGAGCCTCACGGCGGATGTGAAAATTGGATAAATTGGCATTTTCAAAGAACACTTGCTGGGCTGATTGAGGGTAAATTCAGAAGGGCAGCCCTATCTCCTGGGTTTCCACATCTATGTCCCGATAAATTATGAGAAATATTTTTGAAACTGCACTTGTGAGTGCATTGTTCTTAGCATGCAGAATGAGATCAGGGAAAGGGAGCTGCAGTTTGTTAAGACAGGACTGGGAAGGCAGGAATCAGTAAGGAGCCAACTGAAGAAGCTCAGTGCCATGTAGTTAGTTGATTGGGGATGTGTTCGCGATTTTCCGCTGTTTTGCGACGGAACATGTAGAGGCGATAAGATTTTAGTTGATGAGGACAAAACGGTTGCTACTTCTCTAGGTATGGCAAAAATGGGCAAAAAATGCATACCCCAAGAATGAGGGGAGGATACAAGAGGAGTAGGAAAAGTTTGATATGTTGGGACAATTGTGTCTGAATAATTCTAGGACATTTTCCGTAGATGATGCCGGGACAAAAGGAAAACCCGTGTCAAAGGGAGAGGGAGAAGCTTGCTTGAGGAAAATTCCGCCTCTGGAGTGCACTGGTAGGAGGGTAGCCATTGGCGACCTCGGATTTGGCACCGCTGAGTAAATTGGGGCAAATGACTTCGGAGGCCCATTCTGTGGTGGGACTGAAAGAGCCGTCCGAGTCTAAAAGGACAGCTGAACGAATGCGGTTTTCCTCAAGGATCGGACGGGCTAAAATGGTGGTCTTCAATGAGCTTGTGAGCCGGTTATTATTCCGACATTTCTGTGGCTTCTGCGGCATTTTGCGGCGACACTTCCCCGAAGAAAGCTTCTAGCGCCGTAGTTTTTGGAAGAGTACCCAGAGTTTAATTTTGATTTGTTACTATACGTATTAGTAGCTTTCCTATTAACCTTGAGGACGTGTGTAGGTTGCGACAAAGCGTTTACATGTTTCGGAGTAACGGAAAGTTGGCTCGCTCTCCAAGATTTTGGATGATGTTTCAAAGCTGGCATAAATGCTGAGTGTGCAGGCTCATAGTGGTTAACTTCAGAGCAATAATGGCAGTGAAAACGAGGAGTGAGTTGGTGCTCTGTTGACTGAAGTAGTTGTAGCTTTAAACCTAAGCAACAAACGACCCTCATGAAAGTGTTTATACCTGTTTGGAGTACTGGTTTAATGAATGTGAACCGCGACAATTTTGTCCGTGGCTGGAATACATCCAGGGGGTAATATGGTCGTCGATGCTGGCTGATCCATGTGGGGAAGTTTTGGGACAAATTTTGGGCACGTCATGAAAAATAGTCGGAGATAGAAAAAATGTGATAAGGGACGATTCAGAGTAGGACGATTCGGTCGGCTACAAAGCGGGCAAGTTTAGTTCTGGTGGCTTCCGGAATAAAGAGATTGAGAGCCACTAGGTGCAATTCTGCCAACGTTGAGCTAGCCGTGGATGCGGAACCCCACTTGGGTTGGTTCGTGTGGGTGGTGGGCTTGCTTGCCGATGGAAGAGACGAGACGGACTCCGTAATGCCACATGAGAAAGGAGGGTCTTCTAAGTTTTCATGGGAGTTGACGCTGTTATGGGCTGAGAAATCATCAGGAAATCAATCAACGACATGCTGCCGCAGCTGTGGATGGCAAATGTTAATCTATAAAAGGTAACAGAGGCTTAACCAAATAAACGGTCCGCAGGTATTGCACTCAACCGAAGGCGGATTTTATACATGGTTGGGACAGGATCCAGGCCATTTTCAGCTGGGTTTTGTTGGAAACTGATACACCACAAATGTGGTTTGGTATCAGTTTGAGTCAGTCAGGAAGAACCTGTTGGCGATACCATTATATGCCTTGTAAAACAATATATTGCCGCGGCAGTAGGGTTGCTTAAGTACATGTTTAAAGTTATCATTATTCTTCTTCTGGTTGGGACAGGGTAATCCGCCGGAGAGGTTGGTGGCAGGCATCGTGTAAAGTGGATTTTGAAGAGGGGATTGGTTGGGGGCGCAGAGTGGCAGGCTGGATTCTGGACGGCAGCTGAAGATGGCGACGCGGACTTGTGATTTCAGAGGGTATGGGGTGAACTAGGAAGCACGTTCAACGTGAACTTATTCACCAGAATTCATTGTACAGAACATGCACCAACGGGACGGATTATGACAGTAGGGTATATTACTCTTCAGAAAAGCTAAAGGCGCCACCCGGGAAGCTTTTACTTGTGTATTACTTGCAGCCATGGGGCAAAGATGGTGGGAGTTGGTGCGGTGTTTTCAGCCATTATGGAGTGGATAAATTATATGACACCCTGTGTTCTCTAGGTAAAGATGCCCCACACCGCCTGATCAACTCACTGGCCCCTCCGCACTGACTTACCAATAACAAGCACTGGTTATGTCTCCGCCAAAAACGTTGTATTTGTTTTTATTTTCTTGTTCTGCTTTCTGAATTCCATCTCCCCCCAAGAAAGCGTATAGCCCTCATTAATCCTTTCAGAGGAGAATTATTGGGTGCACACTGTGTGAGCGTTTACTGGGTAGAAAACTGGCACGAAAAACTGTTGATACTTGAAGGCGTTCCAATAAATTCCATGCCCGTAAACCGCCTTCCCACAAAAATAGGTATGTTTGGCCTTGTGCTTTCTTTGGTGTGGGTATTCACAGTTAGCGATGAACCCTTGGAGTGTTCACTACAAGTACACTTACGCCGAGTCCGGTTTAGAATGACGTGTCTTGGGCTGGATGGCACTGTATCGTGAAGCGTTACCAGACATGTACAGGGAGAAAACGCCACTAAAAGCAAAGCAAAGTGTAACTGCGAAACGAGAAACGTAGTTCATTTGAATGCTTTCGGTCAAAAATAAGCTTTCAATGAATAAACAAATGTCAGAACGATAAAAGATCTGAATCAAAAACTGATGCTCTTATTGACAACGGCAATTTGGAGCAGCTCAGCCTGGAGTCGCACCTAAAAATACACGAAAATTGAAGACAAACAGAGATAACGAAAAAACCCCCAGAGACCAATTTCACCTACATGTAAAGGCGGGACTGAGAAATAACCGGTAACCAATGGCCTTACGGAGAACCATGTTTGGTGGTGTGAGCTTCGTAGGTCCCCAGTTTTGGGAAAGATAGCATGGTCTACAGGAAGGAGGTTGTGTTCACCATAGCGAAACTGTAGTTCTGCATAAAGGCACGGCACGACTTAACAGAGGCAAACGGTGCAATCCTGGGGGCGGTGACGGTAAATCGAGAGGGTGAACAAAGCGTGTCAGTTTGAGCCAAACTGGATAGTTGTTTTTGGGTAAAAAAAGGGGCAAGGACGTTGTCGGGCTTTTGAAAACCCAAAAGGAACGCCCAAAGCTTATTGGGTAAATTAAATTCAGAAAACGTGAGTCAGTCGGTGATAATAAAGAAGGAAGTGGCAGATGATTAGCAGCAGTTGGTAGCCGATAATTTTGTCGAGCAGTTAATTGTCGCTTCCTGGAGAGAGGTTGCCAAAAGACCTGGCATGCTGGTTCAAAAAAAGAATGGGACATAGAAACTGATCGGCGTTTACCGATGCAAAAGGAGGTGAAAATGCAAAGGCTGCCGTTCAGCTGTGCGCACACCTGCACAAAGGTCACTCAAGATGGACGCTATGTTTGGCACCCGTATCCCGGGTACAGCAATCTATCAAAGACTTCTTTTAAATATAAAATTCCATCCTTCAGCATCTCGCAGTTACATACAGCTCCAAGCTCACCTTCGGTTCTGATACCAAGCATCCGCTTTTTTTCTATTTTTCATGCACAAACTTATCCACCTCATTATTCAAAGGCACATCAAATGCCCCTTCTTATCTGCATTTTATGCTGCTATTCTAATATTCCAAACAACCCTCCGGAGGGTGTAGAATTCAGCTGCCTGAAGGGCGGTTGTATATTAACCAACATATTGACCAAATTAAAGGTTTGCATAGCGCTGACTGTCTTGCAACACTGCCTCCCAATCTTTTCCTTGACTGTGTATAGGTGCAATGTAACTGACGGCTTTTACTCCGGCACCATTTCTTGCTTGAACACTATTGTTCGCCGGCTGACTGTGTCTTAATCTCAGACTACAGGATCTAAGTGATTTGAAGTTGGGACATTTCCTCAAGCCCTCTTTAATTACCCTCAGCCGGGACGCTTTCCTGTTTGATACGCCGGTCTGTCAGACTATACTTCACTACCTCGAGTTCACAGGTAACTTCAAAACACTTGCAGTCAATTTGGGCTGCATGGCAAGGTTTTCTCCTATCCTCTTGCATATATTTGGTCACCGATTAGAACTCCACCAAATGAAGATCAGTCACCGGTTTGGTTCCTCCATTCGAAGACAAAGACGCTCACAGACCTTCTCCGCGGAGAATTGCTCTCTCATCACGATGCAAACCTTCATCGAAACGAAAAAAATGCATATGCAGACGGCTTGTTACTCAACCTCAAACCAACAGAAATAACTGAGTACCTCAATTGAAATCTCAATCTGGCATCTCGGCTGTCCAAATCTGGGCTTAGCCAGAGCAAACTTCCCACACAGACGTAAACAGCATGAAGACCCCATATCTTATCTACGTTGCCTGTAGTGGTACATCCATCGATTGCTTCGAGCCGGCACACGCTGTATTGCGTTTTATCACACTTTTTGTTTACAAAAACTTGACAAAAACTTAACAAAACTCGAAGTCAGTGAAAATTTAGTGTAACTCGTGAGACACAAACCTTGCAGATTCGACTGCCGCGCAGCCATTTAAGTGTCATTCCACTTCTCGTTGACGACGCCGTCAATTACAATAGTGTACACACAGCCTTACGTTTGAACACCCAGTCTTTCTTATTGTACACCACAGACAACGATCCCGCATCTTCTCTGGACGGGAACAAAGGATCGTTATCAAAACTCTTACACGAACTTCCCAGTTTTAGGCATTCCCACAATATTACACTTGGGAAAGTTAACCACCGAAAGACGAGATCTCGGCCGGATCTTCCCGAATTTCATCACATTGCGGAGAATGTCATGTCTCAAAGGGAGAATAATTTCGCAAGGCAAGTAAAGCTTTGTTTGGTGCATGAACAGAGGCCGCCAGGAGGACTGTTAGTCAGCACTCTAACAACCACTGCGCAGTGACGACCAGATGGTCTGGCTTTCGCTTCCACGTAATACCGTCTTTGGACCACCTCTGACGTTCGCCCTATGTTAATTCTCATCCACCTTATATATCATCTAGTACATAGCAATAGTTAACTTGCGCAAATGTTCCTGCTGCCGCCAGCACTACCGTTTAGTCAAGGCACCAGCCAGAAGTTTTCAAGGCGTCATCCACCCGACTTAGTTTCAACAAGCGGGCCATTTCATGAACCACTTGGGAACAAGAGGTCCAATTGGTTGCAATGGCTACCGTATAATCCGTTTTGGCACAAAACCATTGAGTGATAATCCCGATCAACAGACTTCCAATCGAAATTTCCACACCACATAAAATAGATTCTTTTCCGACCCGAAATGCTGTCGCCAGGCAGAGAAACCGACTACCACTGCCCTGAATCGTTGAGATAATATCCCAACTCAGATTCCACCACAGTGATCAGAGGAAAGGTGGTTGTAATACTTATTTTCGTGTGCGGTAAGCACATGGCACTATGTGGTTGTGGGATCATCACCGACACCCACGTGAAACATTTTTTTGGGGGGGAGTGCAAGTAAAGTGCCTCACTGACAGCGTCTGTGAACCCCTAAAAAATTCCACACTAAATCGCAACTGCTTTACGAGTGCACTCGCTTTTCGGGATAGCTTGGCCCAAGCAAAGAACGTCAAACTCACCTCGGATATCTGGTTTTAGCTTCAGAAAGGCTCTAGATTGAGTTCTTCATATTACAACTGTTATTTTCGCTGGCCATCTCCAAGCCAGGAACTCTGGCACCTACGAGTTCAGATGGGCAATTGGGTAAAATTTTGAGGACTTAGCTTACAAATTCCTCCTAACGGTAAAAATTGGGCGCGCATGTTGTTCGGTGGAGTGTCCGAAAGCGCCTTTGTAATGCATATTACCGAAGGATAAGGGGGATCCATGTTGGGTCCGCAAAATCGTGATTCGGCGATTTCAAATATGACAAGGGAAAATGCGCACAGGACGCGCGCACTCTTTTAGGTGACCTGCGGTTTCTTTTGGCGAGCGACGCTCGTATGCTCCAAGGTTCTACATGATGCATATGCTAAACCGCTGCTGAGATACGCCGACCAGAAGTTTATTCCGGATTAGGAAAAGATCACCCTTGTTCTGAACTCATCCGACAAGCAATCAGGTATTTGTTTATTCTTCAGTCTGAGGACTCCGGAAGACTTTCAAAAGCACCCGAACTTCAGCTGATGGAATACAAACGTCTGCATATGGCACTGATCCTCATCCATTTATTTCTCGAAAGTGGTTTGGCTTCGTTATTATTCACCCATCGGCACAACCAGATTAGCCGGAGACAAGGAAAAACTGGTCAAGATGGAGGTCCACACTTTCTTACTACAACACTTTTCCTTTGCGCACGATAACTTGTAAAAAAAATTTACTCAAACTGCTGGTAACATTATCTCTTAAACAATTAATTGCTATTTTAGAAACTCACTTCAGTTGCATCACTATTTAGTGATGCTTTTGCCTGATGCCATGAAATCGAAGGACCCTGTTAAAATCTTTCCGTACCCTTCAAGGGAAGTTTGGTAAAGCTGACAACCAAGAACTAAGGAATCCTTCAACGCGGGAAATTGAGGCGGTCGACTGGCCCCGTTGTACTAACTAATTGAATCACCGTAGCCTATTGGATGACAATCTTGGTTGTAAGATGCTGAGCTTCATGGATTCACGGATTGATACACAGGATCGCGGTTTTAATTTAGGTTTCCTGGGTCGATTTTGTTTTCATTGGTGAGCAGCTGTCTTTCACCTGAAAGAAACAAGTAAAGAAAGGATATAGCACCGCTCTGTAGGTTCTCAGCGCGGAGCAGTAAGCTTGCCAGAGCGATGACCATATTAAAAGCTTCTAATAATGCATTGAATTGTGTACTAGATAAAGTGTGGACGACTGTCGAATGAAGGTCATTATATGCAGCAACTACCCGAAACGAGGAACATTTTTGCCTTAAAAACCGTGAACCCTGGTCTCGAAATTCTTCTTATCATCAAGGTACAGTCCTCCGCAAAAACTAGCCTCATGGAAGTGCCACCAAAAGCATTACTTCTTGGTGCCGCCACCCAGCGGTCAGGGCCCTACAGAGACACTTTCCTGGTCAAACCGCGCAAAAACGCCCAAGAAACCAGAAAGGCGAACGTTTGCCGCACATCTTTGTACA